CAAAGTGTAATTTAAAATATATAATTATCGAGATATTTCTAAAACAAGTTTTATTTCAAGCGATGTTCAAAGTGCTGTCCATTATTGAATTTATCCAATAAACATAGATAAAAATTCCTAAAAGTTTGAATAAATGTGCGCTTGTTATTTTTATGATTCGATATAAAACGTAGTGCGTCGTAAACCTAGCTTTGAACTACCAAACCATGCAAAATATAAAATTTTGTATAAAAATGCTTCTAATTTATATATATAAATTAATTAGCTATATCAATAAAGTACTGATTTATTTTACATATCGAAGGCATAATTAGACTGTGCGAATCTTCCGACCACTTCATCCATTCACAGATGATTTCGTAGAAAACAGGATAAGCAATTACTAGACAATTTATAAAGAAAGTAAAGGGTACCGTTTATCTTGGTTAACTGATTAGCAATAATGCGTGGTTCGGGAGCAGATTAACCGACACAAGCGCCAGGAAATAATTAGAGAAATTGTAGACGGGGATAATGCGGGGTAAGGCTGTGCGAGGCACAGATGGGGCCAATATTGATAAAATAGCGCGTGGAATATTTTGAAATCGGATATTTTAATTTGTAAATAGAGTATATTATTCCCATTGCGGCGCATTGTGACGCCAGTGTCCGTAGGGTTCAGAGGAACCGCTTTTAATGACCCGGATGCGAATGGTTCCACCTAGCAGTGTCGTATTCAATTCCCTGCCTCTGTATTTTTCGTAATCTCAAGGTAATTCTCCTCCCGATTCTTTGACCCCTTCCTATCCACCCTTAGAAGTCCGTGTCATGTTACCCTACCTTTGAGATCTGGCGCCGATGTCTGCGACTCGCTTTTTTCTCTTTTATTTCCTTCGTTTTCATTCCGGTCTTTTTTTTCAGTTTTTAAATCGTCGAGCGAACGTGAAAACCCTCCGGTAAATTCTACGCAACGATCTGTCCAGAATTTCTATAAATAAAAAGAAAACCTCTATTACGTATTTCATTTTTATCAACATCCATTATGTATCAATTGATATTTTCCATTGCGATGTACTAGAATTTCAATTTTAATTGGTAGCTATCTTGACAACATATATTTATTTGCAATATTTATATTTTTCTATTCCCGATTACAGCGTACTATGATGTAGTCGTAAATTATAAATCACATCAAATGTGGAATGATAATTTAGTAATTGATAGTTAGACTGCGGAATTTTATGCAAAATAATCGTTGCCTGCATCTGTTCTAAAAAATGGGGAATAAGTAGAAAGTTGTTTCGTACCTTAATAATTTTAGTACGATAATAATAATATATAGTTGTATATAGTATTCAGACGTCTTACCTGTTTTAAATGTCACCATATTTTAATCATAAATGCATAATATTCGCAGTCTATTGATGATATACTATATTTATTTGCAATTAGTATGTAGCAATTAGGGTGTTATCGGACGAGTAGTACCATCGGGCAGGAGTACGTGATTCTACGTGCGAAAATAAGTCGAAAAAAGGAATAACATTTTTTTGTTTGAAGCTTCGTTTACAAGAAAATTGAGTTTGAAGATTGTTTAGCCCGCACGTAGCATGATTATGTTCGTTTACACTTTCATATTTCTTGTTCTCTGTAATGTTTACATTCCGTCTTCAGCAGGGCGGCTACCGGCTACTCATATTATTAGTCTATTATATCAGTCGAATTGTAATATCTCTATACATTACTTTCGATCAAGTAAAGCGACAAAATGATGTCGCATCAGTCCTACATTCACCGATAAGAAGAGCAAGATTATGTACACGTCAGCAAGGTCGACACTTTCAACAGTTCACTTAATGTAGTGTAACTAATAATAAAACTATTATCTACACATTTTCAAACTCGATTTTCTCGTAAACGAAGCTTNTTGAGATCTGGCGCCGATGTCTGCGACTCGCTTTTTTCTCTTTTATTTCCTTCGTTTTCATTCCGGTCTTTTTTTTCAGTTTTTAAATCGTCGAGCGAACGTGAAAACCCTCCGGTAAATTCTACGCAACGATCTGTCCAGAATTTCTATAAATAAAAAGAAAACCTCTATTACGTATTTCATTTTTATCAACATCCATTATGTATCAATTGATATTTTCCATTGCGATGTACTAGAATTTCAATTTTAATTGGTAGCTATCTTGACAACATATATTTATTTGCAATATTTATATTTTTCTATTCCCGATTACAGCGTACTATGATGTAGTCGTAAATTATAAATCACATCAAATGTGGAATGATAATTTAGTAATTGATAGTTAGACTGCGGAATTTTATGCAAAATAATCGTTGCCTGCATCTGTTCTAAAAAATGGGGAATAAGTAGAAAGTTGTTTCGTACCTTAATAATTTTAGTACGATAATAATAATATATAGTTGTATATAGTATTCAGACGTCTTACCTGTTTTAAATGTCACCATATTTTAATCATAAATGCATAATATTCGCAGTCTATTGATGATATACTATATTTATTTGCAATTAGTATGTAGCAATTAGGGTGTTATCGGACGAGTAGTACCATCGGGCAGGAGTACGTGATTCTACGTGCGAAAATAAGTCGAAAAAAGGAATAACATTTTTTTGTTTGAAGCTTCGTTTACAAGAAAATTGAGTTTGAAGATTGTTTAGCCCGCACGTAGCATGATTATGTTCGTTTACACTTTCATATTTCTTGTTCTCTGTAATGTTTACATTCCGTCTTCAGCAGGGCGGCTACCGGCTACTCATATTATTAGTCTATTATATCAGTCGAATTGTAATATCTCTATACATTACTTTCGATCAAGTAAAGCGACAAAATGATGTCGCATCAGTCCTACATTCACCGATAAGAAGAGCAAGATTATGTACACGTCAGCAAGGTCGACACTTTCAACAGTTCACTTAATGTAGTGTAACTAATAATAAAACTATTATCTACACATTTTCAAACTCGATTTTCTCGTAAACGAAGCTTCAAACAGAAAAATGTTATTCCTTTTTTTCGACTTATTTTCGCACGTAAGATTATTTTCGCCCGATGGTACTACCCGTCCGGTAATACCCTGTATATGTTAATAAAAAATTGTTTAATATACATGTATATGAATAAGTTATTTGGTATAAATGAAATTAAATTGAACTTTTTTAAAATTGTAATATATTTAATATATATACTTGCTTAAAATATGAAGAAATTATATAAAATAAAAATATCAAAAATATAGGATATGTACGTAAAAATAGTATCAAAATATTGTAATTTACGTACGATGGTGCCATCTGTGAGATACTGTTTCGTTACCATTTCCAACGAGTTACTACATTGTCTAGACTTAGTTTAAGTTTGTGCCTATAGTCCATTACCACTTTTACCTCCCACCCTACGTTACCAATGGTTCATAAATTGAAGTTTGTTATACTCAGCAGATTATTGTATTCTGAATTACCCACACTGGTAAAACTACCCTATCGTACAAGAAAAAATTCAAAGAATGTTCATGCATGGAAAACATATTTCAAATAAATGGCTATACATTTTCATAAAATATGTTTAAGGCTGTTTTAAATTATATTGTACTTTGGTATAGTTAAATTCTATTCTTTATATGGATCACATAAAGAAAGACAAAACCCATGAACTTCTTCCAACAAATGCTGATCCACAACATGACTAAAAAAAGAATAATTATAATAAGATTCATTAGATTAGGGCACTGTAAAATAATTAACATCTATATAAAAAAACAAAACCACCCTATTGTAACATGTGTAACCCAGCTCTGATGATCAACCACCTATTACTGGAATGCCGAGGATACTAAAATGAAAGAAGAAAATATAAACTTAACTTCTCATTGAACATTCTAAACTTCTTAATAATTCGCTTGCTTGTAACGATAGCAAAAAAAAAGGATCAGACAAAAGTTGTTTGATTTTGAGGGGCACACAATGTGATGTCAATAGTTTTTTCTAAGTTGAGGCATAGAGGAGATACTCTTCAAGCTTGTGTTTTTAAACGAGATGATATAGTCTTTTAATTTATTTTCTGATAGTGTTTCAAAATGAATACAGTGGGTGTGGTCTCTAAGTGCAGGTCATTAATGCTATACAAGGTCACAAGGTTCATGTATAGAATTGTATTCGTCTTCAAAGGCTTTATCAGAATATAAGTAAACGACTATATCATCCCATTTAAAAAAAGATAAGACTGACCCTTATATATATTTCCTCTACATCACCATCTACAAAAAAACTATTTTCATCACACTATGTGCCCTATAAAATCAAACAACTTTTGCCTGATCTTTTTTCTTTTGCCATTACAAGTAGGCGAGTTATTTACGTGGCCTCTTTTAGATGCGTCACCCTGTATACAGAAACATAATCATTAGTCTAATCAGTTGCTAACGACACAGGCTTGTGATCTATACAGACATTACATTTTACGGATTTTTCTGCCTCAGGTTTCTGAGATCCTACAGACCCCTTTACCATTTCAATATCACACTCAGCGATACCAATGTTCACAAATCTAGGCAAATAGGCAAATATTCTACATATATCAGAGCCTATATGTACATATTTCGTTCCTACTATGGAGGCAATAGAAATAGTATTTATGAAATATGGTACTAGAAATACGACATAATTGAAGATAGTATATAGCAACAGTTTTACACATTATTTTAGACTTAGGATTCTAAAGTGTGTACATTGCATCGAGTGACTCAATTTATATATCCAAGATCACTGTAATACTTCATCAAAATGCTTTAAGAACAAATTCTAATTTCACAACCATTAGCATTCATTTGTGAATGAATGTTTGCTCAATATTCGGCCATATTTATAATAATATTTTATGCTATAAACAATGAGTCAAATAATACCCTAGTGGTCAAAAATGACGAACGGAAGGAAAAGGTATTTGATATTATTTCATGAAAAATGGATAGTAAACTCGATATTTACCACAAGATCAATGTAACTGTTTGTACCATAGAAGTAATTTATTTTCGTTCTTATTGTAGTGAGTTTAATCATACCATGTTAAACATAACCCGTCTTGACTCTCTTTTTAGACGAGTAGAGCACCATTATACACGAATCAAATAAAATAACAATTTTTACTCTTAAAACATGCTGCCGATATTTATAATCACATTAAAGAAACAGAAATTTACGTTAAAGAATTGTGTGTTATTCTTTCGATTCGTTTGACAGTTTTCAATTCGTTGTTTCCGAAATATCCTGTATTTCGAATACAAATTTTTAAGTAAGAAAAGTATCATATATAGAATATAGAAGAAGTATTATACATAGTAATTATTTTCCTAATCGGAACTATCTTCATCAATATTTACTTCATCAATCATTTCTGGTTGAATTTCAACTTCTGTTCCTTTGGCGCGATGCTTGTATTTTCTCCTATCTGAAACACAAAAAAGAAAAATTTTCGAAAAAGAGAAACATTTAGAGTAACACATACTTTATAAATACATACCGAACATTGAACAATCATCTCCCAGCAAACATAAATAATGCTTCACATGATATGCAGGTTTACGAATCTTGGGAGGTATAGTATCCTCGAATCCTATTATATTTAATTTCAATGGATTCTCATAATCAGTCCCCATTTCTTCATAAATTAATATCCTGTTTTCTAATTCTAAATAAAAATGGATTTAATCTTCATATTAAAAATTCCACACACAGTATATATTTTAAGAATGCCAAAATTATTACTGAGAGCTTTTAAATATTCTTCTGTATCTGGATCAAGCGTTACTGTTTCGCCTGCTCTCCTAGCATCCATATTTAGCAATATTGTTACCAAATCTTTCCTATTTATTGGAAATTTTTTGGTATCACTAACATAATTGATAAGAAACTCTAGCCCATTGAACGTAAGTCTATACCGGGGAATGGACTTTTGTTTTTTTTTAAGCATAAATGCTCTCACTCCAATACTTATCAATTTCATCTCATCCTTATTCGAAACAAAAACGTTACGAATTTCGGGTGACATATAGTGAATGCCTCTTTTCCTACCACGCGTATCTCTTACTAATAAATTAGCATCAAATTCGTCAGTTATACCATAGAAATCCCTGAAAAATTGTAACTAATTAATCAGTGAAATTAATAAATAATTTATTACACTTCTTAATAAATAGTAATTTTTAAAAAATAGATTTTTGTCAAATAATACGAATCAATAAAACATTAGGTTTATACAAGAAGCATTTCTAAACAGTCTAGAGCAACCTAAAATATGAACAATTCATATTCAAAGCACAAAACTCTGTACAAAATGTGTATAGGAAATTGGAAATTCAAGTACATATTGAATGCTGTGTAAAATGTTTACTACTCACTTAATTGATGTCCAGTAGATACCCTCCTGATCATCTTTCAAGAAAACAAATCGATCTTCGCTAAGCTCTTCCTTAGCTCTTTTGAGTTCCATATTCAGATCTGAAGGATCCTGATCATCACTTAATTTTCTTTTCCTACAAACAAATTGGTGATCTTTATCTTCTTCTACCTCTTCATCATCTTCTGCCTCTTCATCCAGACTTAATTCTTTATAATCTGCCTCTTGATCCAGATTTAATTCTTCATAATCTGCCTCTTCATCCAGATTTAATTCTTGACAATCTGCCTCTTCATCCAGATTTAATTCTTCATAATCTGCCTCTTCATCCAGATTTAATTCTTGACAATCTGCCT